ACGCGACGCCGACGGTAGCCATCTTGAAAGATTGCGTGACTAGTATTGCAATCCCATGCGCAGTACAGATGCGCAATGCAATTCAGGGGAATGACCTTAATAGACAACACGGCTCAAAACGTAGTCAAAGATAGCCTGATTTGCCCGCGCTCAGTCAAAACTGTAGAGCTGAACTTGTTTGTTCTTTATTGACTTATGCTACGCAAGCATCCTTGCTGGACAGCATGCGAGAGCAAACCACCCCCTCCCCCCTCGCCCTAGAGGTCAATGAAATCCCTAATCTCGTACCCAGATCTCTTGTTGACGAAGCCGAAGGCGAGATCTGGCCCCAGTTGTCGCGTTGAATTTGATATTAAAAAGGTAAAAAAGAACACAAAAATTAGTTGGTTCATACTTAAGATGTGCGCATAACCACGTTTTGATTGTTTAACACGTTAAAAATTGAGGATTAATTTCAAGCATACGCTCTTTCATGGCCTGTCACATTCCTGACAGGCAATCACGGGTACAAAATCGAATTTGACCAGATCTCGCCTTTGGCTTCATCAATACGTAAGAGATTTGAGTGTGAGATTATGAAATCCCCGGCGAGTTTTATTTCATGTTAGCGCGTTCTAGGTGGCTCTAGGATCCATTTCAAAGAAAAAAAATACGGGCTAAACCGATCTCAGATCGGTCTAATTTACAAAAGCGACCTCAATGTGAACGAGGCCTAATCACAACTGTAGAACCAGAAAACATGAAAAGTCCGTCTGATCCTCGATCGAGTCTGAGATGACTGAGAGATCGAGAGAGACTTGCGCGCTTCTGACACGTTGGCTCGTTTTAAGCGTTTAACAATGTATACGATATTTTCCCCAAGGACGACGTAAAATTTATATTAGATTCAATTATGATTAAGAAAAAAATCAATCAGCGGGCTTAAACCTATAAACTTAACGTTTCTTTTGTTCATGATTGTGACTTGCTTGCCGCCACCTTCAGTACAGTCCACAGATCGACACAAACGAAATATCATCTTTGCATTTGGCACGTTTAGATCTATCGCAGTCACAGGCGGCCCAAACTCATTACATTAACGCGGACGTGACTCTTGCTTGCGAGCGGTGTTGTGTTACAAACGGTTATTTACAAAGGCTTTGTATGGGATCGATCGGTTTTTCTTAAAAGAGATAAAAAATGTTATGTTTTTAAATAAAATCGACTTACCTTATTGCCTTGTTGTATTCTTTGTTGTTTGCCCGCGTCTCAGGCCGTTTTGAAGCGTTTTCGGCGAGTTAGCGCTATTTTGGTGTCCCACTGCTAAAAGAAAGACAAGGCAGAACAGTGATTCCCGGAGTGGCCCGCAGTCGACAAACAAACAAACCCGTTAGCCCCGCTGGCTACCCTCACCGGGCTTATTTTAGTTACCCGACATACTATGCGATCGGTGAACGGGTCCACGGCAGTTTGGACGAGCCTATTTTGAAATCGGGAAGCCGATCGAGCAAGAGATGAAAGCATCGCTAGTGAACGATGTGTGGGAGGAATTGCGAATCGAGTGAATGGACATGGAACTGCAACATCTCTGCTTTGAATTTCTGAAGGAATTGAGACCGGGGGTAATTTTCCAGTGGAATTATTCGCCTCGAGCGACGGACACTCCGGGAATCACTGTTCTGCCTTGTCTTTCTTTTAGCAGTGGGACACCAAAATAGCGCTAACTCGCCGAAAACGCTTCAAAACGGCCTGAGACGCGGGCAAACAACAAAAAATACAACAAGGCAATAAGGTAAGTCGATTTTATTTAAAAACATAACATTTTTTATCTCTTTTAAGAAAAACCGATCGATCCCATACAAGCCTTTGTAAATAACCGTTTGTAACACAACACCGCTCGCAAGCAAGAGTCACGTCCGCGTTAATGTAATGAGTTTGGGCCGCCTGTGTCGCAGTCAGCTAAAAATTGGTATAAAATTTCACAACACAGTATTACAGGTCCCTTTCTCTCTCAGCCTTTTGTTTTTGCTTGTGCTTTCCAATAACAGTAGAAAAGAAAAATCCAACAAACAACAAACTTCAAACTGCCGTCTGATCGAAGACATCGAAGAGGTGGCGAGATTTCACTCGAATGCCCGGGGAATGAATGAAAAAGGCACCCACCGCGTCCTTGCACGTAATTACTTTAGTGACAGCTGATTGGTACGGTTCTGACAGTTCCTGGCTTATTTCTCAAATAAAGATTATCGAAACCATGAAACTGTTCTCAGCGAAACTACTAGGACCAAATTAGGCGCTAGGAGTCCGTGAATTTCTTTTTTTCTTTTTAGGTAAACTGTTGAACATAGACGTTTATTTTCATTTGTGAACCAGGAAGACCAGGAAGGCTCAAGAAAAGGTTCACCCCAGGTGCACCTTTCCCAGTCCTATGCCAGCTCAAAAAGCTCGCATAAAATCGCTTTTGATTTTTTAAAGTTCAGCGAAGCGAGTGAACAACAGAGAATCAAACATAGCCAGAGGTCGAAGTTATTCATAACAATTCAATTTAAACCTTAAAAAGGCTGCGCTGTGTTCCCTTGAAAACTCCCCAATTTTGTGATCCTCCCAGCCGCTCATAAGCAAGGGTTCCCTCGCTATTATAGAATTTTAATCATGTGGCCGTGACCTCGACCTTTCATATGGAGCTGGTGAACTATTGTTTTGACACCAGATATGCTGATATTATGTCGTCACGTTCAGGTCTATACCCTCGGGAGGCTTTCCATAGACTAGCCTCCCCGCAGACATCCTTTGGGGTTCGTTCGTCACGCATTCATTTCTCCCCCACGGATGGTTTTTCTTACAAGCGAGTAGCTCAATTTAATCTGGAGTGGATCTTTAGGAAGTTGGATTCCGGATTCCAATCTTTAGTAGGATTCCGGATTCTTAGTTCTGGATTCCGGATTCCAAAGCCCAAGATTCCGGATTCCACGAGCAAAAACTTCCTGGATTCCGGAATCCGGATTCCCTTACATGAGGCGAGTCATAGCTTTTTATAGACTGTTCACAGTCCTCTATTTTTCCGTAAGATCATCGAGATCGAGCACTTTGCGTTACGGGCTGCCATATTGCATGAGTTTCAAAACCACTTAGGGGACGGGGGCGGTTAGGGAGGAAGCGAGAAAAATAGAGGGACTGTAATAACATCACCGCAGCTCGCGTTCAGGAGGCGTGACAGGAATTTCACGCCTTTTACCATTCATTAATTAAGAAACTCCGCTGGTGATGAAAAACATGCCAGACACGTTTAGCATCGATTACGCGTGTTTACAAATATCTATATCTATATATCTATTTTTCTCTTCCTCCCCCCTCTCTAGCTATAATCCCCGACGTCCGCCCCCTCGGTACATTTGAAAATCAAGATACCCGTGACGGTAAGACGCGGTATATCTAAACGATCTCACGGAAAAATGGGGGACTGTGAACAGTCTAAGCTTATTATTGTTGCTATTTTTAAAAAGTAAAAGTACTGGAACAAAAGCTAGCTACGTTTGCTGTAAGGTCAGCAACACAGCGTTTATGCACAGTGTATTTTACAAACTATGAATGAAATTGCAAGACAAGCTAGCGTCTGTTCAAATAGGAAGAAACGCGGACTAATTAATAGTTCTCTAGTTTTAACAGCAAAACAAATATGTTTCGAATTTGCAAGTCAGCAAAACCTTTCATATTCCAAACTCATCTTTTGCGTCTATTTACCCAACAGACTAAAGAAAGTTATATTTGCAAATACATATAAGTATTATCCAATTAAAACAAGTTACATCTGTAAAAAGGTGCAAATGTGAACGGAGCCGTCGTGCAGAATAAAAAGAAAGCTTAAATTCAAAGATAAACTTAAGTTAGTAGACATTATTCTGAAAACTAATGATTTTTTCTAAAAGTCAACAATTGAAGTTAAACGTATCCGGTTGAAAAGAGTCAGTGGCAAATAGTTTTGACAGCTGTAAACACTGTTGGCTTTTTCTACAATTATTACCTTGCGAACACAAAGCAAATGAAACAAAGGACAATAAAATGGTACGAGCCTTTTTGCGGAGCTAAAACCTCTTTATGCAAATTCAGTAGTATGAATTACTAAAAACAAAGTCAAAGCGAATATTTGAAAGCTATATATGAAATTCGAGGCAAATAAAGAATTCATAGAAAGTCTCTCCTTACAATATAAGAGAATAATACAAACTAATAAGTGTCGCTTTTAAGACATGATGCTTTCACTTAACCATTATAATTATCTATATTTTTTAAGTCATTATATTACTGACAGAAAAACATTAAAAAGGAGAATCCCGGGAAATGATGAAGACCAAATAAAGCTATACAGTTTTAATTAATATGTGTTCAGAGGATGAGCTTTGGCTCATTCCCAAACAGCGACTGGCAATCAAGCCTCCGTTTGAACCCAGGAGTCATTTCAAAATGGATTTTAAAAGTGGATTGAGCATGATCGTCCGCCGGGTGATCTTAGTCTCGTTGTTGACAATAGAGAGCTTAAGCAACAACGAAGGCGACGGCTACGAAAACGTCACTGAAAAAGTGAATTTGCTCTGCCTCAAACCTTATCTCGCGTATTCCATGTCAAATGATGGCAATTGTTTTTGGAGTTGACTCAAGGACTGTATGAAAGTTCAGGAAAAAAAGAGGTACAAAAGAGCCTGATGCACGTGCAAAGTTGTTACTTTGCCAATCTAAACACATTGCTTTTTTTGCTGTTCTCGTTGCCGTCGCCGTACACATCAAACATCAGTCTTCAAAGATTATCTGCGGGCAGCAAACTATAAGGAGCAATGGAAGCTGACTTAGCCAATGATTTTAATCTTAGTTTCTCAGTGTGTCTTTCATTTCTAATGTATTATGGTTAAGTGTAATTCAATCTAGAAATAGTCTATTGTTTATCCACATAAACGAACAGGATCTAGAGTTTAGTTAGGCTAGCTTTCGTTTGGCACCAAGGTAAATAAACCCAGATAACTTTCTTCTTACAGCACCAAAATATATCCCATTGTCTTAATATGCTTTACGCCATTATCTGGAGCAAATGTAGCCGCCTCGTTTCCACATGAGTTGCTCTTATCAGGAGTTCCTCCAGTGCCAAACCCAATTCTAGAGTCACCGTCCCTGCAATCTCCTCTATTGTCACCAATGATACCGATTCTTGCTTTAGAGTTGTCAGGATGACTACTAACAGCATTGAACCCTTCCTTGTTACAGTTTTTCTGCAAGGAGGCCTCAGAACCAATCAGCGACTTCCACTTGTCACGACCCAGTGAGGTGCTCCGGTATTGCCCATCAGCGATCAGAGAGTACAAGGAGTTCGCCTGCTTGTTGATGACAATAAATTTGAACTGCTGGCCGATCTTCATACCGAGGCAGATCTTGGAGAAGGATGTGTTCCAGTAGGAGGGAAGTTTGGTCTCCTGTGTGTCAAACCCAGTCTTCCCTCCCTCAAGGCTGAAGGTTTCTTTGTTGCTCCAGAGAGGGGAGTTGTAGTGAAAAGTTTGCTGTGGTAGAAAGGAGGAAGAAATAGAAAAATTGTCCTTTAAAAAGAAAAGTTCACAGGTTTCTTTTTTCTTCTAAAGACAACATCCTTTCCGGAAAAGAAAAAAAAAAAGGAATTTGCAATGAAAGAACAATTACAGTGAAAAGAATATCTTCAACGTCCTTGTTTCTCCAGATTTATAAAATGAAATTAGTCACAGCAGGCGAAATGGCGTTAATGGTCACCGATAGAATAAAAAGTAAACAAATACTGCGCTCTTTAATCATTGATGCGATTGAAAAATGCCGAATTGAATATAATTATCTCTACTTCTCGCCTGTTCGCAAGTACAGAGACCAGAGGCTTCTGTGTTTTGATATGAAAACCTTCACCTCGTCTGACAGGAAAAGCGGATGATGACCTCTGCTACTGACCGAGATATTCCAGAAGCTTAAAGGTGTTCTTAATACTTAAATCTTTCAGATACAAGGACTTAGCATGTATACGCACGAGAAGAAAAGTTAGAGCACAGAAGGCACTTCAAACTTGGAGGACTGGGGTTATGCTTCCCCAGAAAATTTACAATTTTACGTCATTAGTATGGAATTTCTGTCGCTGAGGTGCAGACGTTCCTCCTGATGAAACGTCCCTAGCAACGAGGAGCAAGGAGAAACGGCTGTATTCGCAGGCTAGGATAATTGAAAGTTACCGCTGACAGAGGCACATTTTTTTCACTCTAGTCGCCAAACTAAGGGAAAACGTACACAAATGTCTTACCTTATTGCCGTCCATTTTCATGACCGGTGTCCATCCTCCATCTCCGCATCCAAAATTTCCAAAGTGACAGAGAACTGAAACTAGTTTGGAGTCAAGGAGGAGAGTGGCCAACTGACTCACGTTCAAGCTGTACAAAATGAAATATCATTTTAATTTTTCCAGCTCCTAACTATCGCGCATCGTAGGCTATTTATCTATGCTTTTATACACTGGTAAAGACGGAGCTTTGATAGCGGTAGACGAAGGACTGCTTTCACAGTTATATAACGGGCAATAAAGAGTACTTGTAGGCATCAACAAAAGTGGCCGGCAAAAGGATGTATGTCATGCTATCATGCTGTGGGACTTCGTGGTCCTGAAGGTGTTAAGAGAAAATTCACTTGAAAGGGCAAAGTAACTAAACGAAAAAGTGAAAGATCAATTCATATTAGTTTTCTGGCTCTTGCAGCGATGACTAATTAAGTTCGTCAATCAAGGAAGACGCACTTGTTGCTCGTCATAAGAACTGCGTAGGAGAGTAGCTGGGGGACTCAATTAGCTCGAATATAATTAAACGTACTGCGTATTGAAGGTAGCTAAGTTGAAGGTTTTTTTGCGACAAGACCATCATCGCATTTACCAGGAATAACTTCGAACAATTGCAATCGAAATAACATAATGACAGCTGATAAATCACTCAGATTTGGATTTCACTCGACGGGCAAACCAAGCACAGTTCGGGCGCATTCAGCTGTACCGACTTATTTCGTTATTTTAAGGGTGTAAAAAGAAAACTTTGTATTTTTTTACTCACATTTTCTTGTCAAAAAGATCCTTACACGATGAAACTGTGCAACAAGATAAACAAGGGGGTAATTAATATTTAAGAATTGTCATATAAACCTTAAAGAAAACAAGCATTATTAGAGACCTTCAGAGTCTAATTATTCAGCTTGATTCTTTTAAAAAGATACCTTTAATATTAAAAATACCTTACCACCAATTTCTGTTTGAAAATTGAAAAAATAAAAAAGAAGACCTACCACCGTCTTCAGTTAGATGTGTGTCCATATTCTATATCAAGAGCAATAATTGTGGCTCTTGTCTACTAATATAAAAATACTGCCGTTTAACCATCATAGAATAATGGCGAAGTAAATTGTACTTTTCGCACTGAGTGATTTAACGGTATTGTCTGCTTACATAGTTTTACAAAAATCTTCCAAGTTGATACGAAGCCTGTCATTTTACCTGGTTCACAATTCTTTCCATCTCCATAGTATCCCGGATGACAAGTGCAGTTGTATCCTCCCTTGGTATTATTGCAGATGGCATTGGCACCGCACTTTTTTGCGCATTCGTCAATGTCTACAAAAACAGATTATAACTAGTCCATCCCAGGTAGTCTATTAAATGGAGAAACTCGCGAAAAGTGTTGGCTGGACTACTACAAGATGGAACAGAAGATGACGAACGAAATATTGAAAATGGCAACAACCATACATGGGACCAGTGTATAGCAGGCTGTTGGCACCATTATTCGCTTTTTTCTCTTCAAAAGAACCTAATCACTCTAATCCCAGGCCGATCCACATTTGACTAGGCTAAGAAATAAATAAAACTAAATGCCAATGTTACATACTTTTCACAGAGTAGAAGGCTCATTAAATTGGCAATCTGCCCACAGTTTAAGTTTCTTTGTAGCACTGAAATATTTGCCAGATACAGACAATTGCTTCCAACAGTACACCTCTTCCACTATTTTATATTTATTATAAGGGACAAAAAAAACTAAAGAACTTACCTAGTTCACATTTTTCTCCACTCCATTGCGGATTGCATGAGCAAGCGAAAGCGTCTTTTTCTTTGTCGAACAAACAAGAACCTCTGTTGAGGCATCCAGCCATCAGACAAACCTGCAGAAAATCACATTTTACTTGGGTAAGCAAAAGTTGTTTTCCATCGACTTCCTGCAGCTTTTTACACTAGCGAATGTTTTTGGGCAAAAATGTTCGAATTCATGTGATCCTGGCTGAGTGCTGTTTTCCAACAGAACAGATGTGTATTAGTTAAAATTTATTTGAATGCAGTTCTTACATCGCGTACGTTGTTGACAAACATCTCTTCGACTTACCTTAAGAAACATTGAAAACGTTGTGCCGGTATTAACAGTGAGCTTGGTGTCATCATCTGCAGTTATTGAAAACTCGTGCTTGTTCAGTTCACAATTGCCTGAGGACTCTTTAAAGTTAGAAGAAGTACACCAAGAATGCCTTAAACATGCTTGACTGCATGACATTTCATCGGTAGAATCGATTCTCTTTACAGCATAGCCATGTAAACGCTTGTTCTCTTGGGCTACTATGTAGGAAGATCTAGATTCTTCTTCGGCCGCCAAAACTGCTCCAAAAATGAAGCAGACTATGATTGAGCAAATCATTTTATCCGGCCCCCTCTGCAATCTCATAGCGCCGTTTTCATCAACAGGGTGTGTGTGTAAAAGAGCGATAAAAGGGAAGTTTTCTCAGGTAGAATTTGTTTATTATACCATGCTAAATTTGAGTAATTAGTAAATTTGAGCTAGATTGACTTGTGCGTTATCAGTGACGTGTTCTGTCAAAAGAAAAGATAGCGTAAATGATCTAATAGACGGTCACTCTCAAATAATTTCGCAGCTGAAAGGAATCAAGCTATACTCTGATGTAATGTTGCTCTTAACGTAATATTCTAACGAAAAGTTTCCACAATTGTAGCGTTTGTTAAAAAACAATTTTTGAAAATGTTCAGCCTTAAAATTAGGAAACATCACTCGAACACTAAAACGTTATCATAAACACACATTGCAAGAAAGTTAGAATTAAATGACTAAAATTCATAAATGGCTGAGGTGTCCAAACAAAAAAAATTGAGCAGGTGAAAATCATTGATAGTATGTGACGATGATAAGCTGTCCATGGACGTAAGGATAGAGTTTAATATTCAGCAGCCAAAAATACTAGGTAAACTGCTTTGATCAGTCTTTAAAAATAGTTCCGTATAACAGTTATCAAAGGGGTCATCAAAAGTCCGTTATTCGCATTAAACACTGGACGAAAAAACGGATTTACTAATGTTTGCGAAAGGTGCAAATATGTGGTAAATTTGGAGCTCCAAATTTGCATTACATTTACGCTGTCAGCTAAAGTGTGGGCAAATACATATGTTTGCTAGATAGGTATTGATACGCAAAAGTCAAGTAGATGTAATGGTTTGATAAAAATTTGATACGTATTTGCAGCATGACTAAATCTTCAACATTTCTACCAATTTACTCAAATTTACATCCTTGGCAAAAATGACAGTTTTCACTGTACTTCAAATGCAGGCAAAAATATTGCAAAACCCCTAATTTGCAGTGGTGTTTGCTCTTGTTTTGCCAGGATACCAAAAGAACACTTTTGCATGTGGTTTACTCGTATTTGCCTTAAGAGCAAAAACAATAAATTTCTAGACATTTGGCTGTATCATAAATTTGCACATTTGCATCATAATTGTTCATATTTGCAAGGGGAGCAAATATAGTCAACTGCATAACACTAGCTGACAGTCAAAGGTGATGTGCATGTGACATTTCCTATACGTTTGATTCGTTTTGTGACTAAAGTAAATTTTCAATCTCAACTGTAACATGACATTGCTACGATAAAATTTTGTACACGCTGTGAGACTTCGCCCGGAATTAAAACATCATGGAAATTATTAATTTAAAGCCGCGGAGTATTTTCCTCAATAATGAACAATATTACCTCTAACTTTCTGCGATAACGTTGCAAAATATTTCCGATTATTTTTCAACCGAATAGGCTGCGAATTTAATGCGATGATCATGTTCACTTTCATACCTTCATCCGCATTTCATATATTTCAATTCATGCTTACAAGATCTCCCTAATTTTATGTCTGAACGCAATGCTTTTTAATGGAAACTTCATTCAAGGCCAGAACTAACACTAAGCGCTAAACGGAAACTGCCTCATGAAAAAAACTTTTAAAATTGACGCGCTGTTTTAAAGGCCTCACTGGATCTGGATAGGGTTAAATACAAACGTAAGCAAAACACTAATTTTGCAAAAAAAAGCTTCCCTCTGAGATACATGGCGAATAAAATTCTCACAGAGCCACAGCCTAAAAAGGCTAAGCTGCTCTGTTGCATCAGGAAGGCCAAACGTTTTTTCTTAATGCTGGACAGAGATTCAAACAATATCTAAAAGCGAGTTTTTAGTTCCCCCTGAGACACCCGGAGAATAAAATTCTCACAGAGCCACAGCCTAAAAAGGCCAAGCTGCTCTGTTGAATCAGGAAGGCCAAACTGTTTTTAATTACTTAATGCTAGACGGGGATTCAAAAAATATCTGAAAAGCGCGTTGTTAGTTCCCTCTTAGACACCCGGAGAATAAAATTCTCACAGAGCCACAGCCTAAAAAGGCTAAGCTGCTCTGTTGCATCAGGAAGGCCCAATGGTTTTTCTTAATGCTGGACAGAGATTCAAACAATATCTAAAAGGGAGTTTTTAGTTCCCTCTGAGACACCCGGAGAATAAAATTCTAAAACAGAGTTCCTCTGAGACACCCGGAGCCTAAAAAGGCTAAGCTGCTCTGTTGCATCAGGAAGGCCCAACGTTTTTTCTTAATGCTGGACAGAGATTCAAACAATATCTAAAAGCGAGAGTTTTTAGTTCACAGAGCCACAGCCCCTCTGAGACAAACCCGGAGAATCAAAAATTCTAAAACAGAGCCACAGCCTAAAAAGGCTAAGCTGCTCTGTTGCATCAGGAAGGCCAAACTGTTTTTAATTACTTAATGCTAGACGGGGATTCAAAAAATATCTGAAAAGCGCGTTGTTAGTTCCCTCTTAGACACCCGGAGAATAAAATTCTCACAGAGCCACAGCCTAAAAAGGCTAAGCTGCTCTGTTGCATCAGGAAGGCCCAATGGTTTTTCTTAATGCTGGACAGAGATTCAAACAATATCTAAAAGGGAGTTTTTAGTTCCCTCTGAGACACCCGGAGAATAAAATTCTCACAGAGCCACAGCCTAAAAAGGCTAAGCTGCTCTGTTGCATCAGGAAGGCCCAACGTTTTTTCTTAATGCTGGACAGAGATTCAAACAATATCTAAAAGCGAGTTTTTAGTTCCCTCTGAGACACCCGGAGAATAAAATTCTCACAGAGCCACAGCCTAAAAAGGCTAAGCTGCTCTGTAGCATCAGGAAGGCCAAACTTTTTTTCTTAACTCTGGACAGAGATTCGAACAATATCTAAAAGGGAGTTTTTAGTTCCCTCTGAGACACCCGGAGAACAAAATTCTCACAGAGCCACAGCCTAAAAAGGCTAAGCTGCTCTGTTGCATTAGGAAGGCCAAGCTGTTTTTCTTAATGCTGGACAGAGATTCAAACAATATCTAAAAGCGAGTTTTTAGTTCCCTCTGAGCCACAGCCTAAAAAGGCTAAGCTGCTCTGTTGCATCAGGAAGGCCAAACGTTTTTTCTTAATGCTGGACAGAGATTCAAACAATATCTAAAAGCGAGTTTTTAGTTCCCTCTGAGACACCCGAAGAATAAAATTCTCACAGAGCCACAGCCTAAAAAGGCTAAGCTGTTCTGTTGAATCAGGAAGGCCAAACTGTTTTTAATTACTTAATAATAATAATAATAATAATAATATTTAATACTTATATTGCGCTTTTTCTATAAAAATACTCAAAAGCGCATTACAATATTATTAATAACTAAATTAAAAACCAGTAAAATTACCCGGTAAAATTAATAAATAAATAAAATAAAAATAAAATAAAATAAAAATAAAATAAATAAATAAATGAATACTTAATGCTAGGTGGGGATTCAAAAAATATCTGAAAAGCGCGTTTTTAGTTCCCTCTCAGACACCCGGAGAATAAAATTCTCACAGAGCCACAGCCTAAATTAAGGCTAAGCTGCTCTGTTGCATCAGCAAGGCCAAAATGTTTTACTTAATGCGGGGCATGCACTATCATTCTCACAGATCAGAGCAAAATTAAATAAAGCTTTAATCTGTAAATCAATTTTTGGTTTCTGAAATTTTACTCACTTTTGCTGACAGTTGATAGCCACTGGCTTTGGCAAAAAGAGATGACCACATCTCGATGGTGGGCTTCCTAAAAATGACCACATTTTGAAAACCCAACAGCCAATACTACAACAAAATATGGTGAAACTGCTCATAATTTTATTTGAATATTAACTCAGCTGACAAATTTATGAAAGGCTACTTTTTCTTACTCTGTTGTTTGCAACCCTGAGTTTGAGTTTCACTGATTTTAATGTCGATTTTGAGTTTTACTGTTCATTAAGTACTACCCATTCAATCCAAAAAAGTCATAGCATTTTTGCTGGCTAAAATTCAGCTGAATCCTGGTTACTTGATCTTGGGATAAAAGGAGCGGGGTTGTGGCTTTAGCAAAAAAAATTCTAAATATGAATTCAGATATGAAAGTTTTAAAAACAAATTCATTTGAATTCCTTTTGTCTACAATTTGGTGATTTAATACTTAAAAAAGAAAGGAGAAAATTATCTGACAAAATACTTTTGATTAACCCATTCGCCCCTGAACCGCCCGTAACCGCCCGTGCGGATCCAGGTCCTTTCTACCCTTTGTGACGTCATCAGTTTTAACGGTCAAGGACAACTTTCTTCGCTAACTTGTGCAGGGTGAAGAGATCTTTCAAACCATACCAGAATGAGCACAATTCAGTCAAGGACACCGGAGAAAGAAGCAAAAAACCACGTGACAAGGACCTGAAAATCTCCATGAAAATCTTGTTCTATTACCCACCTACCTTTCCTTTCACCTAATCCTAAGATCCTAAAAGCTTTCCTAAAAACTCTTCCCACCAAAATGAAGCCTACTAAATGCCCAGCAAGAGAAAAAAAAAATGAGGCAAGAAAAGCGAAAAAAGAAGGGAGGAGAGAAAGCGAAAAGTAAAAGTCAAGACTGCTGTGTCACTTTTAAACTGCTGTGTCACTTTCTGCGCATGCCCGAACTTCGTAAGCTGATATTTTGCATCTGGATCAAAAGGCCGCCAAGTGTACGACCTGTAAACCGGTTTGTGGTAAGTTTTAGCTCTTTATAGCACGACAGTGACCAGAAAACCACTCGACTAGCTTCAAAACGCGTTTTTCGGCAAAATCTCCAGGAGCGAATGGGTTAAAAGTAAAAAGAAACACGGCTTAAAATCTAACCCTGGGTTAGTGCTAATCCGTCTTTCGAACAACTGGGCCCCGGTCTTTTTTTGGGTCCAATTCTAAATCACATAACCACTTCGAAGTGAGTCAATGGTACATAACCTGGGCATGTGTTGCATTCCTCTTCTGTCATTTGATAATAGTAAAGCCTAAGGGTCGCACAATGGGCAGGGATCTCCAA